TGAATGAACCATAAACAGGAAACAACCAAAAGAAAAACATCAAGACATATTATAATCAAACTTTTCAAAACCAAAGCAAGGAAAGATCCTAAAATCAGCTCAAGAAAAATGAACAGTTACCTACAAAAGAGAAGAATAAGACTAAGCTGATTTCTTAGCAGAAAGCATGCAAGCAAGAAGATAATGGACTGACACAGACAAAACTCTGAAAGAAATTGTCAACTAAGAATCATATATCCAGCAAAACTATTAATCAAATACGATGACAAAATTAGGTCAATTTCAGAAAAACAAATTAAAACAATTTGCAAAAATTAGATCAACTATACAAAAAATACTAAAGGGACTTTCGGCCAGAGCCGCCATCTTGCAGTAATCCACCAAGATGAGGAACACAAAGGGAAAGAGGTGAGGTACCCACTATATGTTCTCCAGGCCTTTCAGAAAACATGGGGTGTACCTTTGGCCACATACATGCAAATCTACAAGAAAGACAATATTGTGGACATCAAGGGAGTAGGAACAGTTCAAAAAGGCATGCCCCACAAATGTTACCAAGGCAAAACCGAAAGAGTCTACAGTGTGACCCAGCATGCTGTTGGCATTGTTGTGAACAAGCAAGTCAAGGGCAAGATTCATGCTAAAAGAATTAATGTGCTCATTGAGCATATTAAGCACTATAAGAGCTGAGATAGCTTCCTGAAGCGAGTGAAGGAAAATGATCAGAAAAAGAAGGACGCCAAAGAAAAAGGGGCCTGGATTCAGCTAAAGTGCCAGCCTAATCCCCCTAGAGAGGCGCACTTTGTAAGAACCAATGGAAAGGAGCCTGAGCTAAGAGAACCGATTCCCTATGAATTCATGGCATAACAGGAGTGAAATAAAGATGTCTGAAGTATACAAATGCCAGGTCTTTGGTTGTAACTGTGTGGAGGTGTGGTGTTCCCCTCCAAATACATATTATTTAAAGCACATTGTGCTCCCCAGTATGCTTGATAATAAATGCTTTTACTATTGAAAAAAAAATACTAAAGGGAATTATTTGGACAGAGAAACAACAACAGCAGACAACAATCTGAGACTAGCATACATAGCAATGTCACCTAGATTCAACCCAGGTATGTTGTCGTTGCTAAATGTCATGCAGTAGGATCCAACTAATAGCAACCATGAAGACAGTTTCTGAGGAGCAACTGGTGAGTTAAAAACACTGATCTTGTGGTTAGCAGTCCAATGCTTATCCAACCATGCCACACCAGGACTCTAGATATAGAAATATACAAAGTAAAACAGATCTTGTTGTTGTTGTCAGGTGCAATCAAGTCAGTACTGACTCATAGCAACACTATGCATAACAAAACGAAACACTACCCAGCCTTGGGACAACCTCAAAATTTTTGCCACACTTAAGCCCATTGATGCTGCCACTTTGCCAATCCATTTTGCTGGGGGTCTTCCAATTTTTCTCTGACCTCCACCTTACCAAACATGATATCTTTCTCCAGTGACTGTTCTCTCCTGACAATATGTCCAAAGTATGAGAGATGAAGTTTGGCTATACTGGCCTCCAAGGAACTCTGGCTGCATTTCTTCCAACGCAGATCTGTTGGTTCTTTTGGCAGTCCGTGGCACTTTTAGTATTCTCCTCCAACACCACAACTCAAAAGCATAAATTTTTCTACAGTCTTCCTTATTCACTGTCCAGCTTTTGCAAGCATATGAGGTTATTGAAAATGACATGGCTTGGGTCAGGCACACCTTAGTCCTCAAGCTGACATCTTTGCTCTTCAACACTTTAAAAAGGTCTTGTGCAGCATACTTGCCTAATGCAATATGTTGTTTGATTTCTTTTGACTGCTGTTTTTATGTGTGTTGATGGTTAATACAAGAAGAATGAAGTCCTTGACAACTTCAATCTTTTCTCTGTTGACAAGGATGTTGTTTATTGGTCCAGTGGTGAGTTTTCTTTTATTTACATTAAGATGCAATACATACCAAAGGCTGTGCTCTTTGATCTTCATCAGTAAGTATTTTAAGTCCTCTTCACTTTCAGCAAACAAGGTTGTATCATCTGCGTATTGCAGGTTGTTAATGAGTCTTCCTCCAATCCTGAGGCCACGGTTTTCTTCATATAACCCAGTTTCTCGGATTATTTGCAGAGCATACAGGTTGAATAAGTATGGTGAAAAAATACAACCCTATCATAGCCCTTTCTTAATTTTAAACCATTCAGTGTTGCCATGTTCTGTTCTGTGTATAGGTTCCTCATGAGCACAATTAAGTGTTCTGGAATACTCATGCTTCACAATGTTGTCCATAGCTTGTCATGATCCGCACAATAAAAAGCCTTTGCATAGCCAATCAAACAAAGGTAAGCATCTTTCTGGTACTCTCTGCTTTCAGCCAAAATCCATCAGACATTAATAATGATATGCCTCGTTCCATGGCCTCTTCTGAATCCAGCTTGAACCTCTAGAAGTTCTCTGTCAATGTATGCTTGCAGTCATTTCTGTATTACTTTTGGTAAAACTTTACTCGCATGAGATATCAAAGATATTGTCCAATGGTTTTCCACATTCCTTTGGGTCTCCTCTCTTTGGAATGGGAACAAATATGGATGTATTCCAAACAGTTGGCCACATAGTTGTCTTCCAAATTTCTTGACATAGATTAGTGAGAGTCTCCAGTGCAGCCTCACTTTCTTGAAAGATTGCAATTTTTATTCCATCAATTCATGGTGCCTTGTTCTTTACCAATTCCTTCAGTGCACCTTGGACTTCC